TGTATTGATGTAGCTGTAGGTACTGTTAGTGATAAATTGATGCGCATTAGCCGCAGCTTGCATAGCTTTGCTTGCGGCGAATTTTTGTACATAATTGCGGGGTTTTTTTGCAAAAGTTGTGAGGGGTATTGTGGGAGCGGCGTTCAAGCAATATCCCACTCCACACCATTACTCTTCGATAGCAGAAGACGTGAACTGTTTTTATGCGCTTTTCTTTCTTTATTACTGTTCCGATTCTTTATGCGCCTTAGCTGCGTTTTTACAATTACTGCTCTTTATAGTCAAGTTAGGTTACGCCTTCTCAGCCCCTTACATTGAGTGCACATTTATCTTATCGTCGTTTAGTATTGTTGGCAATATCCAAGAGAAATAAAGGCGTTGTTGGTGTGTTGTGCCTCAATCGAAAGCCACCAAAGCTTGAGCTATTTTATCAACATAACTTTCAAATTAAACACGTAACTATAGCATCTATTAACGTTATGTGTTTGCTTGCATCAGTGTGAGTTGTATAAAGCTTACTTATCACGAGTAAGTTCATTATTTTTGATCACGTAAGAGTAAAATATGTGTTAGCTGAAAATTAGATGCTCTTTGTATCATTTTGCCTTCGCTGAAACTTCGCGAGGTGCACTTCTTCCTTTCATTTTGGTCTTCGACCCAACTGCAGTTGTCACGTTTGTGCCTTTCACCCATTCTGGAGTGAATCTACAGAAAAGCATTGTGTGTTGCATTAGATACTGGAAGCAATTGGAACTGACTTTTTTGAGTTAACACACTGTTCTAATCCGGTTTTAATATAACGTTTAAGCCTGCTCGTATCAACTTTCTTCTCTTGAGCCAAAAGCTCTGCAATTGCTAGTAATGCCATTGGAGTCTGCGACATACTTAAGTGAACATCTGTAACAATGAAACTTTGATCAAGTAAGACTAATTTTAATTTTCAGAACATTACCTGACCAGAACTCTGTTTTCGCACGCACTACTGCTGGCTCATCTGACTCTTCGCGCCACGATAGGTTGGATGGAGCTAGCCTAAAAACCGAGAGTTACTTGGTAGGATATGGAAAGATTGAAAATCTCTAAGATACTGTTATTGAGGAGTAATATATATGCGTACAAATCGAGAGTTGTGTAAAACCAGCTTTCAAGATCGCTCTTCTCGACTGCTGCTTTTCTTCGATGAAAATCCAAACTCCAGTAGGGTAACGTGTAAGCGTCAGGTGTACCGTACCTAAAAGTTGTGCACTCTTAGAATAAGCTAGCGTGGATCTTTCTCAAAAAGGGGATACTTGATAACTGTTTATAGATTTAAAGGAATACAACTAAAAGCGCTTCGAAACGCTAAAAGCTGTCTTTCAAATGTGCTAAACGTTTTTGAAGAAGTTATAAAACTTTAGCGAAAAATAGCTCACGTTGAGCCAATTACTACTCTATAATC